CTAACATGAAAATATTAATGCATCTTTTTAATGGTAAAGGTAATACCTGTTCATTGTAGAAAATTTAGAATACAGATAAATATAAAAGAGTAATGTATATACTGCTTGAATTTGAAAACATGAAACTTGAACTTTTCTGTCATTTAATATTCTTTTATGCATATAAACATATCTTCTATTTCCTTGGATATCTCATTTCATATTTTTCCCCTCACTTCACTTGATAAATACATATAAAACTTCTGACTGAAAAATTATTAGAGAAATAATATTAGGAAGGGTAGCTGAAAAGAAAATATCTTTTATTGTTGCAGTTAACAGTGCTACTGTTTTTATAAAAATAACATAGGCTAATTAAGGAAAATCTAATACTAGAGAAAAGAGCAAGGAAAGTAATTATTGTCTCCAAACCTTTTTCAGTAAACATTTAATTAAATCATCTATCAATGCATATAAACATATCTAGATCTATGTACAGACTTTTTCATAAATGAAATTGTATTATACATTCTGTTCTGTAACCTTTTAGTAAACTTTTTTAAGAAAATTTAAAATCTACAGCAGAGTCGTCAAGACAGTACAGAGTTCTGTATACCCCAGTTTCAGGTTTCTCTGATGTTGTCATCTTACATTACCATGGTACATCTGTCAAAACTAAAAAAACAACACTGGTACATACCATTAACTAAACTCCAAACTTCACTTGCATTTCATCAATTTTTCTATTAATGTTCTTTTACTATTCCAGGATCCAATCCATGACACCACATTGCATTAATTCATGTCTCCTTAGCTTCCTCTAATCTAAGAGAATTTCTTAGTCTTTTCATGTTTTTCATAACCTTGAAAGATTTGCTCAGGTATTTTGCAGGATATCTCTCAATTTGGGTTTGTCTGATGGTTCTTTCTTATGATCAGACCAGGCTTATAGGTTTTAGGAAAGAATACCACAGAGGTGAAGTGTCCTTCTCATCACAACATATCAGGGGGTACACGATATCCACGTGACATCACTCATAACGTTAACCATGATCACTTGGTTAAGGTAATGCCTGCCAGTTTTCTTCACTGCAGTTACTGTTTTTCCCTTTCTACACTTTAACTATCGAAGACAAGTCACTAAGTCCAGCCCATATTCACTCAATATATACTACATTATTTTTTTTTTGCTTAAATTATTCTAGCTTTGGCTATTGAGGTTTCTTTCAGGTTGGCTCCTATATCCCCTTGACATACTACTATCTTTTAATTTTTTCAGTACTTCCTTACTTTGTGGTGCAAGATCCTACAGGCTCACGTGGTGGTCTCCCTGCCCAGCCCTAGAGTCAGCAACTTTACTAAGAAGCCTAGCATCTTTTCTTTGAGACTGGTATTTGGAACCAAGACCTGGGTGTTTAGAATGTGCATCACTACTCAAGTGTCATTCCTTATAGGTCCTCTCAGTGGACAGAGTTTGATAATGTATATACATGTTCAAACTCACATATACACAAATATCTGCAACTGTTTCTCTATCCAGCTGTATATGTACTAAGCTAAACATGAGTTCACATTGGTGTTTCCAACTCTAATTAAGAACCACAGAGTTCATTCTAACCTTCCTCCCTTACCTATAATTTTCCTCTCCAACAGTGAGAAATCTGGCTCCGATAACCCACCAACCACTTATATTTCAAGCCTAGAATACATATAAAGCAGTTTCAGAACTGTTAACCAGTAACCTGTTGGAAAACAAATTTACCAACAAGAGTATAGTATTTATGAATCGTTCATCTTTATCCTTAGTTTCTAGTAAAACATAATTTTCCAGACTTACTTAGGATATAGCCTCTCACCTCCCACCCCCACGTTCAGTGCAGTTACATCATTATTTATAATAAAGTGAGGTTCATTTGTCACAATCTGGATTCTGTCCTGGAATTGAACCTTTTTTTCAATTTGCATATATTAATGTTCACTCTTTGTGATTTATAGTTCTATGGGTTTTGACAGATGTATTCACCACTCTAGTACCACACAGAATAGTTCTTTTGCTTGAAACGTTCCTCTGTGCATCTCCTTGATATGACTACTTGATATGACACTTTCCCATCCAACAACCCCTGTTAACCACTGATTCATCAGTTTTTCCTTTCCAGAATGTCACATGAATGGATCATAAAATAGAAACCTTTTTGGATCTGGCTTCTTTCACTTATAATATGTATCTAAGATTCATCCACATTGTTCTGTGAATCAATAACTTGTACCTTTTTGTTGTTGAGTAATATTCCAATGCACGGATGTACTAGTCATCCAGTCCCCTGCTGAAGACATCTTGATTGTTTCCAAGTTCTAAAGTTTTAGTTTTAGCGATGAATAAAACCGCCATAAACATTTGTGTGCAAATTTATATGTGAACATAAGTTCTCAAATAATGTTGAGGATCTGTTCATGTGTTTACTTGCCATCTGCATATATTCTTTAGTGAAGTATATGTTCAGATATTTTGTGCTTTTTAACTGAGCTACTTGTTTTCTTATCATTGAATTGAGTTCTTTATATATTCTTGATGCAAGTCCTTTATCAGATATGTAATTTACAAATATTTTCCCCCAGTCTGTGGACTGTCTTTTTAAAAAAGACTTTATTTTTTCAGAGAACTTTTAGGCTCACAGCAAATTTAAGTGGAAAGCACAGAGAGAGATTTGCCATTTGCTTCCTGCACCCACACATGCACAGCCTCCACCATTATCAACATCCCCCACCAGAGTGGCACAATGGTTACAGCTAATGAACCTATGACACATCATGATCAACCAAAGTCCACGGTTTACATTAGGGCTCATTCTTGGTGCTGTATATTCTGAGGGTTTGGACAAATATATAATGATATGTACCCACCATTACTGTAGCACACAGAGTATTTTCAGCACCCTAAAAATCCCCTGTGCTTTATCTCTTTATTTCTCCTTCTGCCCCAACCCCTGATCTTTTTAATGTCTCTATAGTTGGCCTTTTCCAGAATGTCATATAGTTGAAACAGTTCAGTATGTAGCCTTTTCAGATTGGCTTCTTTCACTCAGTAACTTCCATTTAAATTTTTCCATTTTTTATCATGGCAGGATAGCTCATTTCATTTTGACATTGAATAACATTCTGTTGTCTGGATGTATAACAGTGTCTTTATCCATTCATCTTCTGAAGGACATCTTGGTTGCTTCCAAGTTTTGGCAACTAGATTGTCTTTTCATTTTCTTAATGATTACTTTCACAAAGTAAAAGTTTTTTTAAGTTTGATCAAGTCCAATTTATTTTTTTGTTTTCCATGGATTGTGCTTTTGGTAATGTGTCTAAAAAGTCATTTTCAAACCCAAGGTCACACAGATTTTCGCCTTTACTTTCTTCTTTCTTTATGTTTTACATTTAGGTCTACGATCCATTTTGAACACATTTTTGTATGAGGTGTGACGTACACGCTGAGGTTCACATTTTGCACATGGGCATTCAACTGTTATGGCACCAACTGTTGAAAAGGTTTTCCTGTCTCTACTGAATTGCATGTATATCCCTAGTGCTGTTCTCTCTGAAGAAGAAAAAATTCTCAGAAGTAATAAAATACTTCTTTAGTTTATCCTAGTGATTCTTAGAGCAAATTAGTGTAGTTTGAAAGCAATATATGCAAGACAGTTACCTTGCTTATAAATGTAGTCACATAGTTGGTAAACACTGAAATTCCAAATAATATTAAAGGGATTGGGGAAATAAAAACTGCCTGTTGGCAATCAGACTGAGAAGTTTTAAGCAGAATATAAATGCTTTTCAACAGGACACAGACAGAAACAAAGTTTCTAACGAAAACTAACTGAACTGCAACAACAAAAGTGATTAACATTCTTTCTCTACTTGATTGCTGCCTTTATGTAAGCCAACTCTAGCCCAACTTTAATCCTCTGGGTTTCCTATGAAAAAAATGAATACAATAGCCAATCACCAAACTGCCCCTACTTCACTGTTCCTTCCTTAGAACCACTCACAGCACAAGTCCAAAACCCTAAGAGGTCCCTCCTTATTCCTCCTTTCTGAAACACTCCTAAAGTTTTTTGAGATGCATTCTTTGCCACATCATGCTAAATAAACCTCAATTTGTTTCACTGTAGATACATTCCTGGTTGTGTTTAGCTAGTGGCATCCTACATAAAGTATGTGATTTTTATTTACCTATAAAGCAGTGGTTCTCGACCAGAGGGTGCTTTTCCCCCTCACAGGACATTTACTAATGTCCGGAGATAGATTTGTCACAGTGGGGTAGGGAGAGTACACTGCTATGATGTAGTGATTGGACAGGATGAACAAATGTCCTGGTTTACCAGGAAATGACGGAGGTTCCTAAGACATGGGGGTTTCAGTTGTAAAGTTGGGACAGTCCCAGGTAAACTGGGACAAGCTGGTCACCTGATGAGCAGGGCTGAGGAATGCAGCTAAATATTCTACAATGCACAGGACAGTCCCTCACAAGGAAATTTTTAGTCCAGGATGTCAATAATAGTGCTGAGACAGGGAAATCCTGCCATACTGGGTATGCACTGAAAAACATTAAAATATACCAGCCTAGTCTATTAAGTTTTCCCGAGTAAGCTACTGAAAAGCTACTTTATATTTAAATATAAAGGACAGTTTTAAAAGACAGAATGGTCAATACAAGAATAACTATATTAAATCTATGAAAGGAGCAAAGTAACATTTTAAAATAGCCATAAAAACCATGTTATTGTAGAAAGAGCCTTACAGAGAGAGGCTAAACAAAAGAAACCATAAAAGGTTACAGAAAAAAGGTTTGAATAAATGGACTAGAACAAACAGTGTAAAATCAGCAATTCTCCTGAAATTAATGTATGAACAACGCAAAATATGAACAGATCTTTAACTTGTAGAATAAAATGTAGACTTTTCCACTGTCTGGATTTTCTGATTGTATCCTCATGATGTCACTGAACATGCCCCTTGCAAACAGGAAACCTTTTCAGTAGAAGAGCAATGAGGGGAGAACTTGCCCTACAAGTGTTTTACAAAGATATAATAATTTAATGTTGTACTAATACAGGTACAAAACAAGGTGATCAAAAGAACTAGAATTCTGAATAAAGAATGTCTGAATATTGCAAATATAATACTGGTAACATTTCAAAACAACAGGCACAACAAATACTATGAAGTCCTCACGTCATACATTCTGCCCCTATTCTCTGTGCAGTAACTCTGTGGTTCAGGGTAAGCCCTGACAGGTCTAAACCATTCAGGATTATCACATCTAACTTGCCACAGGGTTAGGTTAAAAAAAAAAAAAGCAATCCAAATCTAATCTAATTAGTACGTGACATTTCCCTGGCCACAAAGACAAGTTTTGGTTGTCCATTTAGAGTGAACATAGGAGTTTTTATTTTTATGTGGTTGCAGGAAATGAGACCTATGAAGGGTCCCTAAAAAATTCAGGAAATATTAGTCAATGGCTACACAGCCTCAGACTTCGGAAGGACCCAATATGCATTACACCAAAGGCAGAAAACATACAGAAAAGATGAATGAATTTGGCTAAAAAAAAATCTTTAAAATTCTGAACATTTAATACGGTAAACAAAGTTACATGGCAAATATGAAATTGGGAAAATTTCTGCAGTATATGAGAGAGGTAGAGTTATTGATAATAATTTTTATAAAGTTCCCATAAATTAATAAAGAAAAGACAACAGAAAAATGGGCAAAGTATTGTGAACTGGCAGTTTACATGAAAAAATGTTTAACCTCAAATGTAAAGAAAAAAAGCATAAGAAATAACAGTAACTTCTTTTGATTATTGAATTGGCAAAGTTAAAAATTCACTGTGCCAAGGATGTATTTCTAGTGAAGATGTAAATGCATCTTCCTAATTTTTCATGAGCCTTAAAAATATCCATAAGCCATGAATTAATATCAAAAGAACATAATTAAGAACATGTAAAAATACCTAACAACAAGAATATTAATTTTGTCACCATTTTTAATAATGGAAAACTGAAGCCAACTCATATATGTTCAATCAGTTCCTACTACTCCCCATCTTAATTTGGATGTACTCAGGAACAGATTCTGAGACAAGGATTTGAACACAAGCACTTAATTTTTAAGCTGATGCCAAGAAACACCAAAGCAGAGGAGGAAGAGAAACAGAGAGCAAAAGAAAGCCATTAAAGGGTATGTTGTCAAGCAGTCCCCACTGTGGGCAACTGCAACTCATTCCTGCAGAGAAACTCTGGGTGCTGGGGTAAAACACATGCCTCAGAGTTATCCTGCCCAAGGGTGAGGAATCTGGGGTCTCTGTCCACACACTCCCTTCAGCTGTTAGTTGAAGGCTGCTGGAGCAGGGGGAGGGGATGTTAATTTTCTGGCACTACTGGCTGGCCGACCTGTAGGTGGAGTGAATTCCTGCAGCCAGGGAAAGTTGTCAAAGAATTCACAAGTGTTGGAGGATGAAAGCTGGGCCTGCATGCACACAAACGTGAAGTGCCAAGGGATACAAAAGTGGGGTATCGACAGCATCTGCTATGTTCTCCACCTGAAACTCGATTACCTGCTGCCAACACAATAAAGCAGCAACGTGTTATGGTGGTTAAAGAGCATGGGCTTTGAGGTCAAAGTTCTTGACTGGACTCTAAACTCTGTCACTTCCTACTTGTATGACCTTGGGCAAGCTACCTGCCAATAATCACTGCGGTCCTGAGAGTTCTCATCTGTAAAACAGCAACTGAAATACCACACTCATACAGTGGGAGGGGGTATCAAATGAGATAACATTTGTAAAAGGTCTAGCAATAGTAAGCAGTTTTTAATTATCCATAATACCCAGCCCCTCAGTACGGCACACAAGGCCTTCCTCCATGCTCTGCCTACAGCTTTCTTCTTCAGTTCTGTCTCTTCATCCCTGTCCATTTTCTCCAGGCACGCGTGTGTCCTAGTCCTACTGAACTGCATCGAGTGCTCTGAACACACATACGTGCTGCGTTCTGGTGTGGAACTGGAATGCTTTCCCTTCAGTCACTGTTTAAGATTTGACACAAATGTCACTTCCATTATGAAATCTTTCTGGAATTCCTCATGTAAAATGTGCATAATTTCCTTTCTTAATCTGCTGTATTATAACACGTACATACTTTCATCACAACACTACACATTAATCTATTCCTATAATGAGACTCCTTCAGCACAGTGCCAAAGTTTTACTCATTCTCTGTTTCTGATGCCTAGCAACATGCCTGAGGCATTCATTACACATCTATCAAAAAATCAATTATGAACAGACAAATATTGGCGTTTACAGCCTATGAGGGGAACACAGAAACCAGAAAACAGAATAATTACACATTATGTTCAAGCTATTTAAAAAAGAACAGTGATGGGGAATGTTTAATAAATGTTTGATGGTTGAATAAGTAAATACTACTTAGAACTTTAAACTATTTTTCCATAGAAACAACACTAAAAATGAGAGTTATGCCTTCTCATGTAAAATTATATATGACTGTAAAACTATACATGATCGGTAAGAGAGCTGAACTAATAGTTTATTCATCTAGTTCTTCGTTCATTTTTTTCTTTCATTCATTTCAAAACCATTTTCTAAGTATACATTATGTGATGTGTATGAAACATAACCCATGGATGCAAAGCAAACAAGAGATAAAATGGTCTCTGCTCCAGAGAGGTTTAGAATATGGAGGAGAGACAAGTTAAGTGATAAACACAGAGTGGTATGTTTTATTAAAGGTGGGGAAAGGAGTGTGGGATGGCAGGGAGTGGTATTATGTTAGGAAAGGCATGCCAAACTACTGCAGCAAATATCGCCGAAAAACTCCCACTCAATCTGCATTCTTTTATTGTATAAATCACGGCGGCAAATAATTGCTTTCCTCTAGAAGGACGGGCCAGAGAGTCACTCTGCCAGGTCCTTGAGCCGAGCCCTGTTACGCCGATGGGACAAAGGTGTCCCAGACGTTCAATACCCTGCACGCCCCCAACCCCCGCCCCAGGGGCGCGTCCCGGTCAGCACCCCGGTCTCCGCGTTTCTGCAGTCCGGCTCCAAACACCTCCCCGGCGGAGCTCTCACCTGCACGCCTTGCTGCTGGAGGGTCTGCGTGATGTAGTCCAGGCGGCGGCAAACGCTCTTCTTGGCCTCGGCCGCCGCCTCCTTGGTGCTGCTCACCCGCACCGCCACCTGCGCCCGGTCGGGGCTGGCAGACACCTCGGCGGTGCCGCTTACGTGCACCTCCCGGCTGGAAGTTTGGGCCTGTGCTGAGGAGAGAGGGCGGCGGAGGGCGGGTAGCGTCTCCCCGCCCGAGACTAGATTGTTCTCTCGGCCCCGATCAGTCCAGGGAACCAGTTCGACAAACACCCGCGACTGACGGGCTTCTTGTAACGACATAGTGATGGAAGCTGGGTTTCCATAGCAACTCAGAGCCGACGGTGGCCGAAGGGGCCCAAGCAAGGCAGGGCTTTCTCCCGCGCGGCGCAAAGAATGCTGGGACGGGCTTGCCGGCCCGCGAGCTTCTTGAGGACACGAGCTAGACTGTGTGGAGGATTTTGCTGCATCTCCTTTACAAGTTGTTGGCCGAGCGCGTTGTTCTGGTTCCTAACTTATTTACTTTACGGCCTTCAAAAATCGTAGCGAGTTTTCTCTGCGGCCTCCCTCTTGGTGAACCCCACCTTTCCATGCCCTCCGTGTTTGCACCTTGCCCACCTCGGAAGTTTCTAGAGGCCCGGCGGACTCTTTCGTGTTTTCCAGACGCCGGTCTGCGATTGTCTTTATTTTTGTCTGACTTTACCGGTACATTGGGCACAGCTTTTTGGACCCCACAGCGCCATAGATAACGAGAAATTTCTATTGGAATGAACTCTTACCAGTTTTACCTTGGGAGTTTGTGATTCCTGGAATCTCAGTTTCATGGTCTCTACAGCCGTATTGATGATATGTTTCACATGTGCAATGTGGTTATAAAGTGCTTGCCGTGTGGAGAACGGAAAATAATGGATAGCAAATAGTAATAATAGCTAAAGCTTTGGCGTCATTTCCAACCCTCTCGAATTTTCTGTACAATTGCTGGAATGGTTCTGGCCTTGACTGTGGACAGGAGAAACTCAAGCGGCATCAAACCACATTCTACGTGGTCATTGCAGGCCCTGTACAACTTAGGTCTTGTTTGTGCCCTTCTTCAACCCAGTGATCCCCCCGTTAAGTAGATTTTTTTCTTACCACTGGAATAATGGAATAATGATCCATAAAGTTAGCCCTACTGTCTGTCCGTGAAGAAAAAAATCTTTTTGGATAACTAATTTAAAAAAAAAAAAAGGACAACTGTTCTCTTGAAAGGAGTCTGAAAAAGCCAACTGCAACCCTCAGGTAGTTTAACGTTTTTCTTTTATTTTTAATTAGTGAGATCATTCAACTAAAACAGATGGTAACCCCTCCCTCTTTCATTTGGCTCATTATTGGGTAGTTTTGTATATGTTTATCTTGATGTTTATTGTTGACAAAAGTAATTGTATGTTAATTGTTCTTTAATTTATTATTTTAATTTAAAAGCTTTTAAAGCTTTCCCGCTATAATTTTTTTTTTAAATTTGAGTCACCCGAAATAATGTTACTTAAATTTGGTGGAAAATTTTTTTCCCTAAATGATAAATGTGGAACAGTTTAGTCTCCAAAATGCACTATTGAGTGAATGCACGTTATAAGTAAAACAAAACAAAACAGTAAGAGCTTTAAGTGCATATGAGTACTTAGGATTTGATAAAAATAGATTTCAAATAAATGGAAAAATGAGTAAGTGGTACAAGGATAATTCGTTGGCTGTGTGAAAAAAAGCATTGCTCTGGATCTTATATCATGCATTAAAAATAAAATTCAAATGAGACAAAAAAAGAATAGGAAGGAAACATGGGTGAATATAAATATAATTCTGGGAATGGGAAGGACTTTAAGCACAGTTTTAAATGCAGCAATCATAAGGAAAGGTCTGAACTAAAACAACTTAAGTATATAAAGCAAAAAAAAGTGTGTGTGTGTGGGAGCAAATAAATTGTGAAAATATTTGCATGACAAGCTAATAGGTTTAATGTTCTGAGAAATGTTACCAGAAAAGAAAAATGGATAATGAACACAGAGGCAAATCATTGTCAGCCAGGGCTGCTGTAACAAAAGACTACAGACTGGGTGGTTGAACAGAAACTTGTTTTCTCAGCTCTGGAGACTGTAAATCCAAGATCACCGTGTTGCCAGGTTTAGTGTCTCTTGAGGTCTCTTTCCTTGATTTGCAGACAGCCTTCTCACATGGCCTTTCCTATGTGTGCAAGCATCCCTGGTGTTTCTTCCTCTTATAAGAATATCAGTTCCATTGAATAAGAGCTCTGCCCTAATGACCTAATTTAACCTTAGTCGTCTGTTTAAAGGCCCTATCTCTAAATAGTCATATTGGGGGTTAGCACTTTAACCTATGAATTTGGATCATTCAGCCCATAACACAAGCCAAGAAAACAGAACTATTAATAGTCTATAAAACGAGAAAAAATTTTTATCCTTACTTAATAGTTGAAAATACAAATTTGACCATAATGAAATATCCTTTTTATGAATTACCACTTTTGGAAAATGATAAAGGCAATAGGAAGGAGATGGAATAGATGAAAGTAATTTTGGAAGAAAAATGGAATAATTAGTTCATGGTAACAGAACTGTACAGTAGATAAAAGAGAAGTGATAAACCAAAGCTGACTGAAGTTTCCAGTCTGCGTAACTGGGAAAATGAAAGAGAATGATAGAGTGTATCTATTTTTTCCCAGCTCACAATGACCTAATTCTCCCTCGGAGTCAGCGCTAAGCCTTTAGCAACCATTTTTGAATAGCATGACTCTTTTTTTTTACACTTTTATTTATTAAACATTTTTTATTGAATTATAGTCATTTTACAATGTTGTGTCAAATTTCAGTGTAGAGCACAAATCCATGAACATACATACATTCATTGTCACATTTTTTTTTCACTGTGAGCTACCACAAGATCTTGTATATATTTCCCTGTGCTGTACCATGTAATCTTGTTTATCTATTCTACATTTGCCTGTCAGTATCTACAAATTTTGAACTCCCAGTCTATCCCTCCCCCCCCCTCAGCTGGCAACCACAATTGACTCTATACTTTATGCAATTTGATTGGACCCAGAGTAGGCATCTGATTCAAGCTGGGCCAGTTAGAGATGTTTTTGTTTTTGTTTTTTATTCCTAGGAATCTATACACCAAATTTTAAAAATTCAGTCTCTCATGACATACATTCATATATATATATATATATATATATGAATATGTACATTTTATTGTGTATATAAATATATATATATATATATATATATATAAACTGGACAGATACAGATTTGCCATTTTTCACATACCATTTCTAGTAGAGAAGCAAAATATGTCAATGTGTCAGTGTATAGAGAAAAGGAAAGAAAATGAGAGAATGAGAGAGAGAAAGGAAATCATACATTCTGAGAGGAACAGAGATGAGATTGAGTCCAAATGCAATTCCAATATAAGTTTATAGATTTCCTTAGGCCTGGTTTCAGGATCATACAATATAATCAGGAGTTCTATAAGATATTCCTGTATCCTTATCATAACATCTCCCCCACCTTTTTCTAATGTGTTAGTAGGCTGACTGATAATAGAGGGGAATTCAAAGCTGACCTGCATGGCTTTCAGCCTTAAGGAATTTATAGAGCTCCACACAAAGTGGATCATCAGGTGCACAGGTCAAAGTTTCACACTTTGAGAAAATTTTACTTTTCACTGTCATTCAATTGAATGATTTTGTCATGCAGCTGCTTTGCATTTCCAACTGAAATCTGTTTACTGAACCAATCTACCCATGCACCTACCCATAAAACCTCAGGCTTTTTCCTTCTCCTTTAGCTCTTCGTGTAACTACTTCCATATAACCATTGGTGTAAGCTGAGAATGGTGGTCTAGTGCAGCTTTCGTGGGTGGTGTGGAAGTATAGGATAACCTCATTCAGCTTGCTTATGCCCTCTGGGTCTGCTCTTCTTCCTTTTGTTAATGTGGTGTATCATGCTGATTGATTTGCAGGTATAGAACCATCCTTGCGTCCCTGAAATAAATCCAAGCTGATTATAGTGTATGATCCTTTTTATATATTGCTGAATTCAGTTTGCTAATATTTTGTTAAGGATTTTTGCATCTTTATTCATAAGAGAAACTGGCCTGTAATTTTCTTTGTATTGTCTTTATTTGGTCTTGAAAGAGTGTGTTTCTAGAAATTTATAATTTATCCATTTTTTCTAGGTGGTTTTTTTTTTGGCATATAACTGTTCATAGTATTCATGATTCTTTGTATCTCTGTGATATCAATTGTTATTTCTTCCTTTTTATTTCTTATTTTATTTGAGTTTTCTCTTTTTTCTTGATGAGCTTGGCTAAAGATTTGTCAATTTTGTTTATGTTTTTGAAAAACCATCTCTGGTTTCACTAATTTTTTTCAGTTGGTTGGTTGGTTCTCTATTCTGTTGATTTTCTCTCTGATCTTATTATTTCCTTCCTTCTGTTGACTTTGGACTTTGCTCTTTTTCTCATTCCCTTAGATAGTAAGTTAGGTTGTTTATTTGAGATTTTTCTTATTTCTTGAGGTAGGCCTGTATCACTATAAAATTATCTCTTAGAACTGCTTTTGCTGCATTTGATAGATTTTGGAAAATTGTGTTTCTATTTTCATTTGTTTAGAGGTATTTTCTGATTTCCTCTTTGGATTCTTCATTGACCAATTGGTTTTTTAGTACCTTGTTGCTTAGACTCCTTGTGTTTGTGTTTTTTCCCATTTTCCTTCCTGTAAATGATTTGTAGTTTCATACCATTGTGGTTAGAAAAATATGCTTGCTATACTTTCTATCTTCTTAAATTTGTTGAGAATTGTTTTGTGGCCTGTCTTGTGGTCTATGCTGAAGAACATTCCATGTGTACTAGAAAAGAATGTGTATTCTGCTGTTTCTGGATGGAATGTCCAGTAGATACTTATTAACTCCAATTTGTCTAATATGTCATTTAAGACTGTTTTCTTATTAATTTTCTGTTTGGATGATCTGTCCATTGATGTAAGTGGGGTGTTAAAGTCTACTACTATAATTGCGTTACTGTCAATTTCTCCCTTTATGTCTAGTAATATTTGCTTTATATATCTAGGTGCTTCTATATTAGGTGCACACATATTAACAAGTGGTATAATCTCTTCTTTTATTGATCTCTTTATCATTATGTATTGCCTTTGTCTTTTTTATAGACTTTGTTTTAAAGTCTTTTTTTGTCTGAAATGAGTATTGCTACCCCTACTTTCTTGTCATTTCCACTTGCATGAAATACCATTTTCTGTTCTCTTACTTTCAGTCTATGTGTGCCATTAGCTCTGAAGTGACTTTTTTTAAAACATTTTTTATTGATCTATAATCATTTTACAATGTTGTGTCAAGTTCCAGTGTTCAGCACAATTTT